AAGTAATGCTCGCGACTTTTGAATAGCCACTTCCCAATCTGAATTACCACTGTTCCAGCGATAGGGGAGGACGACTCTCTTGCCCGGGTTGTGTTTCGCGTAGAGCTTTGCTGCAGCGTTTATGTCTGTGTGCGACAAGGAAGCAATCTTCTGCAGGTTTATAGTGTCTTCCCCCAGCTCCCTGTTCTGATCCTTGAGAACATTGATTTGTGCTTCCAGAATCGCCACCTGTCTCTTCTCCTCTTCCATCTGCTCATCCTCTTCCTCTGCATCGTCCGTTCCCTGATACCCACTGTTGGACTTATCCGCCCCTTCTTGCTGCGCCCTGCGCTTTTGTTCCGACCTTTTCAAGCCTTGTGGCTGGTACGTTTTGGGCCATACGAACTGCTTGGTATATCCTGCCTTGTGCACCGTAATGTCATTATTAGCTGGTCTGGCCTTCCATGCGTATTGCGTTGCGTGGGGTTCGTTGACTTCCTGCTCTTTCTTCAACCATTCAAAGCGGTTCGCTGTTGTGAGATCCTCTCCTGCTGCTGTGGCCTGTTTGAGATTTCTGAGGTGTTTATGGTGAGCCAGGCGGATTTCACATTCAATGTGCCTTTCCCACTTTAATTTATGTACTGTCCTGATCCACTGAGCCAGTGTTTCTGGTTCTTCTTCTCCTTCCGCATCTTCCCATTCTTCCTCATCCTCATCCCCCTCTTCTTCCTCCTCCTCATCATTCAAGTCCTGTGACATCTTATCCATTCCCTCTTCCGACCTCTCCTCCTGAGTCACTCTTACCGAGTCCTCCGTTGTTTCCTTTGTGCCTTCACCCGGGGGGGTGGTTGTGGAACTGCTGCTTCCTGCTGTTTCATTTTTTGTTTTCAACAAACGGCAGAAATTTCATGGGCGCACGTGCGTAGAAGTTTTCATTTTGTTTTTGGGCGAACTTGCGTGAAGTTGGCTCCCCAAAAGATAAGGGACACACACACACACACACACATGCATGTATGTGCCCACCCACCCACACCCATACCCACCTGGACACACAGTGATAAACCTCTGGTTTGAATCTACGTAGGCCTGGTGGTTCCAGCTGAGGTTTGAACCTGCGTATGGTTCTTGAGGTACCAACTGACTGATGAGTTCACCACTGAGGTAGACTGGGTCCCCGTCTCTGTTTTTTTAACACTTTTTTTTTTTTTTTTTTTTTTTTTTAATTGCAAGCTGCCTTCTCCTCATATGGGGGACAGCTGCATTTTATTAGTATATTACCCTATATTCTTCTCTCAATAATCTTTTTTATCTCACACTACCTACCCCGAGCTGCGGAAGGAGAGCTCAGCTATACTACCCCCTGAATCTACCTGCTAAGGACTAATCTAACTGGGACAGAGGACCAGCCTTAAATGTACTAACTACAACTAAGCTATCCTAAGGTTATGGGTTTATACCTACCTAAATCTGCTCTGTGCGGGAAGCAGCACCCAGGCTTCTAACACCTGGCGCGAGCTGGAAAGACAACCTCAACTTCCACAACCACCCAGGAAGGACAAGCCGACTTTCTCAGTCGGTGAGCCGGAAGTAATGCCACACAGGGGGTCATGGGGAATCGAATGGATGCCGTGGGAAATCGAACCCACGACCTCTTCTGTACCACTTACGTGGTCAACCAACTGAGGTCCCTGTCTCATTTTGGGGACCTGTTTTTTTTTTGTTTTTAATGTGTAATTCGTACACAGCTTTGAGTGCCGTCCTTTGAACTGAACCACACAGCTATGCCCCTTTGAATGTTCCTTTTTTTTCCCCTGGGGAGCCTGCCTTATTTCAATTTGTACCACGTGCACCTTGGCTAGCAGTGTGAATGGGGGGACCACTTGCTGGATCAGGCAAAAAATAAAATAAGGCTTGTTTTTTATTTCCATTTCGATTTGGTAAAGAATTTCTATGTGACCCTGAGGCAAAAGCTGTTCAGTTTATTTTCCTGCATGACATGGTTGCCTTTTTTAAAGTTCTTGAACTTTTTTCCCCCTTTTTTTTTAAGGGTTGAGATATCATCTCAAAGTTCAAACCGAACGGCCCCTGGAGAATTCAGAGTTATATCGCTTATCTGAATCAGTTCGGATTAGAATCGAGGTCAGTATTTCAACGGTTCATGGGTGTAGCAACTGAGCTAGGTCCGTTGGATGACATGGTTCTTTTTCTTTTTTTGAAAAAATCCAGATCGTAGTAGACGCTGGATGCTAGGCCTTAGGAGGATGCTAGGCCTCAGGAGGTGCCTGTCGTTGTAATCGACCAGTGGGGAGATCAGATGGCTTGTGACAGCCCCAAGGACAGTCTCCTCCAGGGGGCATCATTCGTGGAACGTTTTTGTTGTCCTAATCGGATCGCAAGTCGATCCCTACAGCGGTGCGACCCAGACCTGTCTCTAGACCTACACCTACATCAATCCGCGCCTTCCAAGGGTCTCAGACTAGGACTGGGACTGTACTTGCTGACTAGACTAGGGATACTTGACCTTTCGGAGTCCGAGGGACTGACTCCTAAAGCTCCGAACGGTCAGTTTGACATTTCTAGAACCCCCCACATGACTGACTGGCCCTTCGCGACACGTAGGGCTAGACTTATAGACTGACCCTAAGATTACTAACCCTTAGCTCTACGGCTCAAGTCCACACGACCCAGACTACATACTCAAAACATTTGTGCACGAGTTTAGGGACAGGTCACAGGTTCAAAACACACAGGATCAATGGGCTACTATACAGTGGGCTGGGGAAGGTATGGGGATCGAGTCTTGGTGTCTGCAACATTGTGCGAACTGGGTGGAACCCTTTCACTCTCTCTCTCTCTCTCTCTCTCTCTCTCTCTCTCTCTCTCTC